GAGGCAAGCTTATTGGTCTTATGAATTCAATAAACAAATCAAGTTTTAACACTTAAAGTTTGATATAATCAGCTTAAGATTTGAAGTTTCTCATTTTTTCCAAAAGTAATCAAGACCAATTAATGGGCAGTCGGAACGTTTAGGGCTTAGCCTTGAATTAAGCAGTCTTGTTATGTCATAGATCTATTTCAGATTATGTTCATTATCAGTTTTTCTCGCTATCTATTTTTGGCCAAATACGCTTGAAAGTCGCATCTTGAACGTCACATCGTATCAGATCCTGGCCCAAATTCAATAGTCGCGACGAGAGCTTAACTCTGGAAAGGCTGGACTTGAAGTCGCGTCTTGATCTCAAAATGGAGCCATATCTGAACACAGAACCAAAATGCCTAGTCGCGGAAGAAGGTTTGTGTCTGGTTTGTCTGGATAATGTTCAAAAGTTGCGCCGTGGTTCGCAAAGTCGCGCCAGATCTGAGTTCAGAACCAAATTGCCTAGTCGCGCCGTTGAAGTTTTGAGTCTGGAAAATCTGGAAAGTCTCAAAAATCGGCACATATGATCGAAAAAGTCTGGAAAACGTGTGCTGAGAACTTTGCTATCAAATTTGGGAAGTCTTAGACTTTTGAGCTCTCTGCGCGACCATGCGTTTTGGGTCTGGATCCGATCTGGCACTATTTCCAAACTCTGGACATGAGTCTCGGACCTCAAACCTGGATGGTACATATTTTCATTCCGTTTTGTTAAATTTGCTGTCAATTTTTAGCATAAATTGTTCAGTAAATAGGAAAGCACAACGGTTGAAATCTGTCCATCATTCATTGGCTCCACCAGGAAAACAGGTTTTGTTATTTGCAATTATTTGAATATTGGCTAAAATTTGAAATTTAGGCCAGTTTGTTATAATTTTTTAAATTGGACTATTTGGTAAAATTCCCAAAGCTACATCAAGAGTTTCAAATTTAATTGAAGCAGGCTAATTAATTGATATTATTAATTCCATGCACTATTCTTAATATTCAGCTTAAAAGTCATAACTTTTTGTTATTTCTTCAACCAAAAACTTTTCGAGACCAGGTATTGGACAGTCGCAACATTCAGGGCGTTGCGCTGATACGAGCAGTCTTGTGTTTTTATTCAGATCGAATTTAAAAAATTTGACTGCGTATGGGTTTTGATGCGGAAACCTTCGGATTGGAAAGCGAGCATGCTTGCACTAGACTAAAATACCCATTGCTTTCCAACTCGAACATATTACTTGATTGTGCAAACTATTTATGCGTTGCAAATTACCCGCATTCGTAAATAATTGTTCCAAATTGAATTGAGGCAAGCTTGCTGGTCTTATTAATTCAATACGCGACTCATATTTTAACAGTTAAAATTTGATATAATGAGCTTAAGATTTGCAGATTGTCTAATTTTTCAGAAAGTAATCAAGACCAATTAATGGGCAGTCGGAACATTCAGGGCTTTGCCCTGGAACAATTAGTCTTGTTATGTCATAGATCTATTTCGGTTTATGTGCACTATCAGTTTCTCTCGCTATCTGTTTTTGGCCAAATACTACGCTCGGGCCATCTTTATTTAAATACAGGCCTATATTCTGCTTTTAATTGCGTCAGACTTGAATTAAGACCCAATTTGCCTAGTCGCGCCGAGGATTTGAGTCTGGAAAGTTTGAACATAAATTCGCGAAAGTCGCGCGTGGGTCCCAACAGATCCGGATCCAGATCCAAATTACGTAGACGCTGGTTTGAGTCTGGAAAGTCGGGACATAAAGTCGCGTCGTGGGTCGCGAAGGTCGCGCCGAGGATCTTGAGAGTCTGTTCGTATCAGATTCTGACCCAAAATCAATAGTCGCGCCGAGAGCTTCACTCTGGAAAGGCTGGACTTAAAGTCGCGTCTGGATCGCAAAATTGAGCCAGATCTGAACACAGACCAAAATTGCCTGGTCGCGGACGAAGGTTTGTGTCTGGAAAGTCTGGAAATAGTTCAAAAGTCGCGCCAGATCTGAGTTCAGACCCAAATTGCCTAGTCCGCCGTTGAAGTTTTGAGTCTGGAAAGTCTGGAAAGTTGCAAAAATCTACATATATGGCCGCAAAAGTCTGGAAAAGTTATGTCAAGACTTTTGCAATCAATCTCTGGATTTTCTAGACTTTCGAGCTCTCTGCGCGACTATGCAATTTGGGTTTTAGCGCTATTTTCTGGACTTAAGTGTGGGACCTCGAACCGGGATGGTACATATTTTCATTCCGTTTTGTTAATTTTGCTGTCAATTTTCAGCATAAATTGTTCTGTAAATAGGAACGCGAAACGGTTGAAAGCTGTCCATCATTCAGTGGTTCCACCAGGAAAATAGGTTTTGTTATTTGCAATTATTTGAATATTGGCTAAAATTTGAAATTTAGGCCAGTTTGTTATAATTTTTTAAATTGGACTATTTGGTAAAATTCCCAAAGCTACATCAAGAGTTTCAAATTTAATTGAGGCAAGCTTATTGGTCTTATTAATTCAATAAACAAATCAAATTTTAACACTTAAAGTTTGATATAATCAGCTTAAGATTTGAAGTTTCTCATTTTTTCCAAAAAGTAATCAAGACCAATTAATGGGCAGTCGGAACGTTTAGGGCTTAGCCTTGAATTAAGCAGTTTTGTTATGTCATAGATCTATTTCAGATTATGTGCATTATCAGTTTTTCTCGCTATCTATTTTTGGCCAAATACGCTTGAAAGTCGCATCTTGAACGTCACATCGTATCAGATCCTGGCCCAAATTCAATAGTCGCGACGAGAGCTTAACTCTGGAAAGGCTGGACTTAAAGTCGCGTCTTGATCTCAAAATGGAGCCATATCTGAACACAGAACCAAAATGCCTAGTCGCGGAAGAAGGTTTGTGTCTGGTTTGTCTGGATAATGTTCAAAAGTTGCGCCGTGGTTCGCAAAGTCGCGCCAGATCTGAGTTCAGAACCAAATTGCCTAGTCGCGCCGTTGAAATTTTGAGTCTGGAAAGTCTGGAAAGTCTCAAAAATCGGCACATATGATCGAAAAAGTCTGGAAAACGTGTGCTGAGAATTTTGCAATCAAATTTGGGAAGTCTTAGACTTTTGAGCTCTCTGCGCGACCATGCATTTTGGGTCTGGATCCGATCTGGCACTATTTCCAAACTCTGGACATGAGTCTCGGACCTCGAACCGGGATGGTACATATTTTCATTCCGTTTTGTTAATTTTGCTGTCAATTTTCAGCATAAATTGTTCTGTAAATAGGAACGCGAAACGGTTGAAAGCTGTCCATCATTCAGTGGTTCCACCAGGAAAATAGGTTTTGTTATTTGCAATTATTCGAAAATTGGCTAAAATTTGTAATTTAGACCAGGTTAGTATAATTTTCTAAATTGGACTATTTGGTAAAATTCCCAAAGCTACATCAGCCACGTTTAAGACTAGTCAAAACAATCAGGGCTTTTCTCATGCGCCAATTTTGTAGCGCTTTGACGATAATTGGTTTTCAAAAATTTCACAATTTGGGAGGGGGGTTTATTAGGATGAACAGATGGAATCGCTTGGATCTTGTAATTTATCCCCCCTTTTGCGAAAGGGGGAAATTCAATACAAGGTACAAAATTCATACCTCTTTAACTATTTACCTCTTTTGCAAAGGAGGGAAGGGATTCGGTACAAGGTTCAAAACACACATGCTTAACTATGAATTATTTCTTTATAGGGGTGGCAATTCGTTATCGGTTTGGAATAGTTAAAGAGATCCCAAAATTCGTATGTCCTTAAGCATAGGATAAGTATTTTACAGGGCTTAGAAATTTTTTATTAAGTAACATAGGTGGATAGTCAACCAGACCCGAGCCCAGTTTTTGAGCCTATAGAGTATCATTGCTTTCTTCAGAAGTGACTTGTTTGCAGCACAAGTAAAAATGTAGACACTGACACTATTTTGAGGCTCTTCAAAAACCCTTTCAATCATCTTCATGAAATTTAATTAAGAAAGTCTTTTGAAATATTTAAAACTCAAAGAGAAAACTAACATCAAATTTCGCCTTTGTTGCCCCATGTATTCCCTGGGGCACTGGTGGCGCCTTTTTGAGTTTTACAAAATTCTCAAGTGCCTTATTTTTTGAATAATAAATAATGAATATTTTCGTTTGGCTGCAGGAAGACATGCCAATCCTTTGAGTGACTAGATGACAGTTAGCAGATAAGCTAGTAAACAGACAGACAAGTAAGCAGACAAATTTACCAACTCCGACGCAGCAAGCGATTTCAGCCATGAAAACATACCATGATAATCCTTTTGTAATTCTAACAATTTATTTTTTCGAAAAACTATCGCAAAATTCATTTAAAATAGTATAATTTTAAATTGAAACCAGCAATTTTTTCAATTTGATTTTGCCTGAAATTTTCAAAACCAATTTTTTCAGCCAATCAGATTCGATTATTGTTAAATTTGAATGAGTTGGGTGGCCGGTCAATTAGCAGAATGGTGTAAAAGCAGAAAAGGACTTTTCAGTTTTTCTGCACTTTCAGACCCTTTCTGATCTTACACCATTCTGCTCAATGCAACCCATCCCTTCAAGCGCTAATCCTTATCTTTTGCTTTTGCTTACAGAAGCAAAAAAAAAACCGGAGCTGACCTATCTGCCGATTTGGTGCTGCAATAAAAATAACGAGCCGGACTATACTATATCGTGTTCTTTACATAGCCGCTCTAAGATCGGATTTTTTATGAATATGAAATGAGCCGAAAATAATTTTATATCTGCGACAGGTTTTTAATGGTCCTAAAGTAACTGGTACATGACAGCGTTAGTTGTAGACAAACTTGGTCGAAAAAGTTTCATGATAATTAGACATCCCATTTTTGATCAATGATAACAGAAATCAGCTCTGCAATTCCGTCTGCTTTAAGAACTTTCTATTTATGCCACAGTGTCTATTAGAAATCCCTCTCAGCATTTGAAATGAGAACATATCCTTATTTTATTTTTTTACTTTAATCCCAAAATTCCACGTTGCTTTTTTCGTTCCATTTTTTCTTAACAGCAGTAAAAACATTTGCGTGCTCGCTGTGTGCAGTTCCTCAACATCGCTAATTCGATTTTTATTTCCCTGCCAAATAACGCGTGAATTTTCCCATTCATTTTCTTTCAAAGACAGAGTGTTACGATTTAACTCAATTTTACTTGTTATTTATTGACTTAGAAAGGTATTTCGGTCAGCCAGTCTTAGCCCGCAGTTTGCATCCAGAAAAGAACGAGCAAAAAAGGTAAAAGGTGAAATAATTTATTTTTGGACTTTTTTAACCTAAGTTAATTCCGATTTTAGCAGTTTTCGGTCTTTATCATTTTAAATACTGCTGTCCAAAATTAACAAAACTTTGCTATTAAGCTTCAAGTTTCCTTTGCATTTGTTAATTTAATCCAATCAGAATCAAGCATTGTGATCAAATTTTTAGAAAGGCCTTAAGATGAATTTTGGGCTGTATAACAGAAAGACCCGTAGGTTTTTGTTCCTACCACTTTACGAAATCTATAGGTATGTTTTTTTTCCATACCCCAAAGGCACTTGTAGAGGATCACGATCTCTTTAACTATATCCCCCACACCCTCCCCCCCCCCGCCCCCTCGGGTACCTAGTAGCGAATACCCCCCTTATAAAGCAATAAATCAACGGTTGAGCATATCAGAAATTTTGAATCTAGTATTTCATATAGGGATAGAGTTTAAGTAGGGATATATTTAAAGAGACCCGAGGATCAAATGGAGTATCATTTTAAATACTTCCCGGGTCGAGGTCCGCGACTTAAGAAAAGACCGGCGCGACTCAAATTTGGCAATTCCAGACCGGCGCGACTTTATATTGGCAATTCCAGACCGGCGCGACCGACACTTGGCAATTGAAGACCGGCGCGACTGAAACAAACCACCGCGACCGGTGCGACTCAAAACACCGTCGGAACCGGCGCGACCTAAGGTAATGGCGCGATCAGCGCCGCTGAAAATTTTCAATTTCAGACCGGCGCGACTGAGAATAAACCGCCGCAACATGCGCGACTGACCAAAATACCAAAAGTATTTTCTTAAGTCGCGCCGTCGGTCTTATCTTAAGTCGGGCCGCTTAAGTCTTTTCTTAAGTCGCGCCGTCAGTCTTTTCTTAAGTCGCGCCGCTTAAGTCTTTTCTGAAACAATTTTCAGCCACGATCGGGTTCCGAAAAAATCAAAACAGTGTCTCACTTCCGACAAAAACTGGATAGAACTTGGCCGGGGACCGATTGTTTGGCAGACCAATCTTTTAGCATAAAAAGTGAAAAATGAGTCTTTTAGCAGACCAACGTAATATAGTAATAGGGGAACCGATCGTTTAGTAGACCAATCTTTTAGCATAAGCTTGAAAAGTGAAAAATGAGTCTTTTAGCAGACCAACGTAATAAAGTAATGGATGATTGATTGACAGACTCAAAAAGACGCTCAGTATGGGGCAAGCTTCCCCAGTCAAGTCAATTATCTCACAATTTGTCAACAAAACTATCAACTTCAAAGTCACAGCAGTCTAAATTTGCGGCAAAACAAAGATTTGAATTGAAGCGCAGCGGATCGCCAATCGCCAATTCTCTTGCGCGAAGGACCGACTGCGCGAAAAAACTCGTGAGCGAAGGACCGAAAACAAAATTAGCCGAAAGTCAACTTTTAAAGAGAAGCAATTGCCATTCAATTAAAATGAATTGAATGAAGCAATATTTCACTTCTTTCATAACGAAACCCTTAAAATATAAATTTGTTCCAATTCGGCGGCAATCAGTGACAATTTGAAAATTTTGCACATTTCTGCCGTTTTTATATTCGACCATTATCATCATTCAGCCCCTAGAAATGTTTACTTTCTTCCAAAATTTAGATAACTGAATTCCTATTGGCTGATTTTTATTTTCGCGCATTCGGTCCTTCGCGTATGAGGGATTCCAACCTAAAAAACCGGTCTGCTAAACTCGTGTTGAATTGAAGCGCAGCGGAGCAAGCGGTCGCTAATCGCCAATGCTGCGTTTGAAGTTAGCTATCGCACTTTATTGTTGTTCTGAGTCTGCTAAAAAACCGGTCTGCTAAAATCCCTAGACCCAACTAGGCCATTTTTCAGACTAAATGACTAAAAATTTAAGAAATACTTAAGAACTCTCAATACCAAAAATGGAAACAACCATTAAGCCCCTGGGCATTGAGTTTTTGGGCTTTTGTTGCGTCTCAAAAATTCCTTTTGATTAAAAAAAAAAGGAAAAAATTATCGAGGTATTAAAATAATTAAGGGCTTGAAATCAATTTGGTTTGAAGCTTTAAAAGATTTTTGTATAAAATAAACAAAACTTCGTAGTAAATTAGAGGCGACCAATTTTTTTTATGTGGACCAGAATTCCCAGTAAAATTGAGCATAGGGGGCTTAATTGAAACTCAAAATTGATCAAAAAATTCAAAAAAAAGCACGTACTCAATTATTATCCCGTAGGAGCTCGGTCACACACAGACACACAAACCTATTTTTTATTGTTCCGACTTCCGAAGAAAGTAAGGAATAAACATTCTCGGTGTATTTTTTTAATTAGACCAAATCTCAAAATAATCACCTCGGAGGATCGGTCCATGGATCTTCGTGGTCCCAGAAGGCCGCCGGCGTCATTGGACTATGCTGGTGTAATGATAGCTGCAGACTAACGTAACTTAAAGAGCGCTGTGATAATTAGAGTGATTAACCGCACCACAAATATGTTCCAAATTTATTGGAAGCAGTCTAATTTGTCTTATTAATTCCATACACGATTCTTAATATTCAGCTAAATTTTCATGGTTTGTCAATAGTTCATAAAGCAAAAACTATTCAAGGCCAGTTTTTTTTTTAAATATTTGTACATTACGAGGCCAAACTGTGCACTGGATAGGCGCACAATTTTGCGTCTGTATGTTCCTGGATTCCAGAGACAAAACTTTAAGCATGTTAAGCTTTTGTCGGAATGATCAGAGAAAGTGAAAGAACAAAAGAAGAACAAAGGGAGCGTCTTTGTTGCGGAATCTGCTTACATTGGAATGAAACTATAGCGGAATCTGCGAAAAATGTGATGAAACAATAGCCCAGGGTATTTTTCACCGCCAGTTGAATGACCTCAATGAGCACTCCCAGGGCATCTAAGGTAAATTACATTGAAACCAATTTAGTAGTGAGTTGTATTGCAATTTTGTTCTTTTTTGAACACTGTTGATCAAAAAATCCTTTTATTCTGCGTGTGAGTTTATCAAGTTATTTCACGGTTAAAAACGTTCGATTAGCTTGAACCGAAAAAAGGAAGAAAAATCTCGCACAATTGAAACACTTAATTTGCCTTAGATGGTAAAATTTGTAGTTTTCTAGCCTAATTACATTATCAAATACTTCTCGAAATACATATCAAGTTTAAAAATCAATTACTTCTCGAATTACTTTCCCTTGAGTTTATCAAAAAATGCGAAAAATGCAGTTTCCATTTGAAGCAGTACAAATTGAAATTGAGATTTCATGTCAACTCTTGGACTATCACAAAATGTAGGTGGGCGGATAAATACTACGCTTGCGATTATCAGGCGTTATGAAATCGGAATTAATACTTTTTTCTGATACAACTAAATGAACAAAGTCAGATGAATCAAAATCACTTCTTATGGAATGCCAGAAAACACCTTTTTTGAGCTTTTTCGCATTTTAAAAGGCCATTTCATTCTAATTTTTGTTGTTGTTTTTAAAACAACTCTTATTTTTTTTAGCAGATTATTTTCGGTTTTTGTTAAAATTTTGTTTTCTTCGGCCAATATATATTCGTTTCATAATATGTTTGTTTATTTGCCTCATAATTCGTTGTTTGATTGACCAAAATAGTTTTTATTGCAATTTTTGTGCTCTTGAAGGGTCTAAATAGAGTTTAAAAACTTTTATAGCTCAATAGTTTCTACAACTTTTTTTTCGCGTCAATTGTTGCCTTCTTAAATATTGTCTGTTCAATTACCATTGGATGATTATTTTTTTCACAAAACTTACCTTAAGCTGACTATTGTGTTTTTTAGTCTCTTTCTTCAAAATCAACCACCTTCGAAGCAAATAAAAAAAATCGTTATTTTTTTTCAAATCAGTGGCTTTTGTCTTATTTTTATAGCTGGCACCCGTTCTTTTTTGATTTAGCGCAAGTGTTGCGAAACTCCGCTTTGCCTATGTACCAACAGTCAAATCTGAATTAAAACTAACGTTTTCCTATAAACTCAGCTCATATTTTGTTTATATGTTTTTGTTTTTATTCTGGCTACTGGAAGTGGAAAGGAACTTTTTTTGTGGTTTTTTTTTTCGTTTCCTATTTTTTTAACCTAAACTGGAACCAAAAAGCGATTATAGATGGTGTTGAATGATGTATCTTATTAACTCTCATATCGCTAAATGATCAATTTTACAAAAACGCTGAAAGTGTTCTGGGTGTCGAGAAAAACTGGTAAATATTTTTTGATTTTTTTAAACAATTCTTTAAGTATAAACTTGTTTTTGAAGCTTTTTTAATTTTTAGGTGTTTAAAAAAACTTTAAAAACAGCAAAAAAATCAAACAGTTTTGTTTTTTTCATTACAGGCTTGAAATCAATTACGGGCTTGAAATCAATTTGGTTTGAAGCTTTAAAAGATTTTTGTATAAAATAAACAAAACTTCGTAGTAAATTAGAGGCGACCAATTTTTTTTATGTGGACCAGAATTCCCAGTAAAACTGAGCATAGGGGGCTTAATTGAAACTCAAAATTAATCAAAAAATTCAAAAAAAAGCACGTACTCAATTATTATCCCGTAGGAGCTCGGTCACACACAGACACACAAACTTATTTTTTATTGTTCCGACTTCCGAAGAAAGTAAGGAATAAACATTCTCGGTGTATTTTTTTAATTAGACGAAATCTGAAAATAATCACCTCGGGGGATCGGTCCATGGATCTTCGTGGTCCCAGAAGGCCGCCCGCGTCATTGGACTATGCTGGTGTAATGATAGCTGCAGACTAACGTAACTTAAAGAGCGCTGTGATAATTAGAGTGATTAACCGCACCACAAATATGTTCCAAATTTATTGGAAGCAGTCTAATTTGTCTCATTAATTCCATACACGATTCTTAATATTCAGCTAAATTTTCATGGTTTGTCAATAGTTCATAAAGCAAAAACTATTCAAGGCCAGTTTTTTTTTAAAATTATTTGTACATTACGAGGCCAAACTGTGCACTG